ATGGTACATAATATCAATGTATATCATATTATTTGATTAAAATTACTGATGCATTTTGCGCACATCATATTTAATGTCGTCGCTGGTAAAGGGGGAGCTACTTTTAACCAGATTATAATTTGAATTACTGCTGGTTATCTTGTGAATTTTCCACCAGGGATCAAAGTCTTGTATTGCTTTTTTTGTATTGATTCTGAAAAATAACTAATAAATATTTAGAAAATAAATGTAATGTACTAAAAAGTATATTTGCCTCTAGAAGGCAGTGAAGTTGAAGTATGGACTACCTCAAAATTGTACTTTTGTACAGTGCTTGAGTAAATGAACTTAGTTATTCTCCCCCACTGCTTTTTTTGCCATTTTGCTTGTTTCCTTACTTGATGAATTTTCTATCAAATTCTTTAAATTTAAATTAGGTAGGTGTCTACCATATGTATTTATATATATATTTAGCTGCCCATTTAAATGTGGTTTTTGGGCGGGGGGCTCAAGCAAATGGTTAATTGCTTCATAAAATGTTTTTCCTTATTTGCTTTGCTTTTTTGCCTTGTTTTTATGTGTGTGTGTTTCATTTTGCACCTTCTCGCTGTGATGGAGCCTTTCACTGTGTATGTGCCCCCAGCTATAGTTAGATTAGGGGTCATCTTCATCTCGTTGCTTCACTGTTTTAAATGTAAAACATTTACAGCCTGGAATAAAGAAACAGTTAATGAGGGTTTTCACTGACCTCTGAGCATCTTTGACAAGAGTAACACCTCATTGTTTGGCCTTGAGTTTTCACTCGCTTGTTTAGACAGACATCCTGTGGTAATTGAGGTCAAAATGACTTTGCAAGGGTACACATCGCACAATGTGTTGATTTTGTGTTGATATTTCTTTCTCTCATGAAAGATGGCCAGGTGCAATAATAGCCTTTTAGAGTGTGAATGTAATCTGCAAGAGGTTGTTTTTGCATGTGCCCTGGTACTATCTATCATTCATAGTTTGATTATACATAGTTATTATACAAAGTGGCTGCTGTAAATTGCCACACGGGTACATCTAACCTAACAAAAACCTTTCAGATAGTCCAGTGACAAGAAGAAGATGATGAATTGTCATAATAGTCAAGTCAAGTTACTTTATTTTTATCTGTGGGTAAATTTGGCTTGCAGTACAAGAGATTTGTCTATGACATCACACATATAGACAACTACAACAATATAATCGTCATCATACAACAAAATACTAAAGTGCACAGTGCTCCATATTCACATCCTCACTATGGAAATAATGAGACATATTTTTGTGCACCATCCCTACGACTTATTCATGCCAATAATAGCTGTTATGACAAAACTATTTCTATACCGGTTTGTTCTACACTTTGGGACAACAAAATGTCACCCACAGGGGAGAAGCTGAAACATGCTGTACATGGGGTATGTGTCATCACTCTAAACTGAACCAGATACCCCCTGTACCTGTCTAGTATACAAGGTTGCTAGGTCACGTTGCGGCTCCCCAGTCAACTTACTAGCTTAACAATATGGTTGAGAGAATTTCTGCTTTTTAAATGTAAGAAACCAGGACACTAAAGAAAAAAGATAAAACTGATTCTATAAAACCACAATAAAATAAAATCTGAATTTTGTTGAAAATGGGACAGTCCCCTCAATCACAACAAACGCTGGTGCCCCTTTTTGCACACAGCCTCACAGTTTGCCTCAAATTTCAATTTTGTGTTAATTATTGTTCCCAAATATTTGTATGACTGCACACATTTCACTGTCTGGCCCTTTATGGATGTGACATCTGTGGGCCTGTCTTCTGAAATCATTTATCATGTCCTTTGTCTTAGATATGTTTAACTGAAGCCAGGATTCCTCACACCACTCCACAAAATCAGTGATGACCAGGCCATGGATAGTCCCATTATCCTGAAGCAGGCTAACACTCACAATGCCGTCGGCATACTTCCTGTTATCATACCTGCTTTGACAGTTGTTTGTGTAAAGGATAAATAATAAGCGTGAAAGCACACATCCTTGTGGGGAGCCCGCTGAGGAACATACTTGGTCAGATAAAACTACATTTACGCTCACTCTCTGTGTCCTGTTTGTTAAAAAGTCAAGCATCCAGCCCACCAGATTATCATTAAGATCAAACTGTTTTAAAAGCCTATTAATTCAAATGTGGGCCTGGACTGTATTAAAAGCAGATGAAAAATCAACAAATAAAAGTAATTTATTGCCATAATAATTTTGCCTAAATACTTTGAAGGACTACTTCACATTAGGAAAGGTCATGGTGACTGCAGTAACGCCACATTCTCCATATTGATAATATTTTGAGATATTTACATATTTGATAATACTCAAGCAAGCCCACTGTTCAGTACATTGATTTTGTATAATATTTGTGTTTCTATGTGTGATTCTCTTTTGATGCAGAATCTCTTTGCTGATCCTGTAAGACTCCTCTGGCTGGCATCCCATCAGAACTTGTCTCTTGAATGAGAAACGGTTTGATGGTGCTCAGATGGAGAGAGTATTGTCAGAGGAGCGGCATGTAACTAATCAGGGCTGGGCTCAGCTCCCTGCCTCCCAAACTATATTCTGCTGATTCAAAAGACCACTGAGACTCCGTGGTTGTGGAAAAGCATGATGAGGCCATCAGAGAAAGTCAAGAAATATTGTGGCTGATATTGCTTTGGTTGATGTCCAACACAATATATCAGTGGAGCTGTTGAAAGTCATTATGGGATTCGTTAAATGGTGCAGATAAACAATTGATCCACCCTGGAGTCAATAATCAGCAACAAACCAAGTTATGGATCAAAGACATGGGTTACTCATATCTAACAGCAGTCTGTGTTGCTGTTGTTTGTGCCGTCTGCCATATGTTGCCGATCTGCCCTGAATCTATCTTTTCTTGCTTGCTTTTTATCTCTTCCTTTTCTCTCTCTGGTCATTTTCAGCCTTGCTCCATGCCTCACCATACATAAAATGGAGGGCAGCAGTGAGGTTCCAATTCAGAACTCATTTGTGGCGCTGCTGGCCCCCTACCCGCTCAGCAGTTGCTGAGGGGACCCAGGGGAGCCCTATCACAACTCTATATGCAAATGTCCTTGCACCTGGGCAACAGCGTGGGCATGCTGGGACTGTGAGCTTATTTATGCAAATCTCAGGGAGACAGTCACAGCACAACACAGAGCCGGCCACAGATACTGGTGGCCATATCTCCCCGCCAGCACAACAACTAGCTGGAAAAAAATATGGAAAAAGCCGAGTGGCAAAGAAGGGAGAGTGCAACGACAAAGTTAAAGAGATGGGGGAAATGTAAATGTATGGATGTTGTAGATGGTTTCAGTATGTACAGTAGGTTTGTGGTGGGCTCTTCTTGTATTTCAAGGACAATCAGTATGAGAAGTCTTGATTGAATGTGGAGAAGTTACTGTGCAGGTATGTCCTCTGTAACAATTAACAAATGTATGATTAAAAAAACTTGATTTCTTTTGTACGTTCTTTTTTTTTGCATTACACACATACAAGAGAGCACACAAGCACAACTTCAATGCGAAGATGTTTGTTTACCATCACGACACCACTGACAAGAGGCAATAACGCTGAATGTGTTAAAGCACTCCACGGCGAAAGGAGAACAAAACCAATCTTTGTGTCTCAGCTGGCCATGCCTCCCAACTGGGCCGCACCACTGTGCGAGACATCACACAGGAAAGTACTCCCTCTCCGCGCACAACAGGCCACATTAATGTGCAAATGTATGCATCAAAAATTTCAGAAAAGCCAAAATTACAGAGCCAAATGAGGTAGCTGCATTCAAACTGTTGGGATTATGAATAATTACTGCATGTTTTCCCGGAACCTTCTTCAATTTCCTGGGAAACAATGACTTCAGTGGTTTCACTGAAAAAAATCCAAACGTGGGGTGAGGTTATTGTTTTCCAGTGGCTGGAGGTAGAGCTACTACACCCTGTTTTCATATGCTAAGTCAGTGGACATAGAAGAAGTTGAAGAAGAGGTTCCATTCATTTTCCTCAGATTTTATGTGTGATCTATCATCTCTTTGTAGCGCCTTCCATCTCAAGAAAAAACAAACAAACTTGACAATAACTTTCAACATACTGTATGTCAAGAGGTGCAAAGGATTACATTGCAGTTAATAATCCATTACTCCTTTACTTCTACAAATTAGGTCCCAGCTTGTTCAGTGTCTTATTGGGTTTCTCTGCGTTTAGTGATGAGCGGTACAGTGCATGATACTCTAGCTCGGTTCTGCAGGTGGGGGCAGGTGGCCTCTAACAAATGGTGATAAACATGTTCCTTGGCAACAAGAAATCTACTTTTTAGTAACTCCAAAGTTGTCTTAATTAACTCAGTATCTTAAGTAACTGTGTTCTCAGTTACTTTGTTAACAGTAAACGTTAGGCACTTAGCTAGCCTCTAAAGGTCAGTAAATACCTCCAAAGGGTGGCCTGGCATCTTGTTAATTAAACCATGATGTCGTCTTAAATACTAAATATGTGGTTTGTGAGTAATACTGAATAGGTGACCTGTGGGTGTGCAGGCTTTTGAATATGTGACAGAGCTTAGCTGATTAAAAGAAGTAATGCAGTGAAAGTATTTATTTACAGAATGCAAAATTATTTTGACATTAATAACATGTAATGACCAACACATTCAAGTAACGTTCCAAACACTGTTAACAAACAATGAAATCCAGCTAATGTTTATACAAACTGCTAGATCAACAAAAGACTTCATAAAACTTAGGCAATTCCCTTTAAATATGAAGATTTCAAAGGGCATAACAGGTAATAGTGGGTATCTGCATTGTAATTTTACCAGTAGCTGCTGTGCTATGGTTTAAAAAGCAGTGGACAGGGAGAGTGGGGTCTTATAACGGTGTGCTTCACTGAGAATGATCCACCAGCCCGGAGGTTGACTGGCCCCTTTGATGCTCTCATCACCAGGATGCTGCCTCTCACCTTCTGGTTCAAAACCAGGAGACTAGAAAAAAAGACAAGAGACAAAGTGGTTAAGAGTGATGGTTTACAAGTCTTTGTGGTTTGCTATACAGCAGCAACAAGCTTGGACATAACATAAAGTACATTAAAAAATGTAGATACAGTAAATCCACCCTGAAAAGCAAATGAAAGGAGCCTTTGGTGATGTGGACCAAGAAAAATATCAGAGAAGAAAGTGACCTAAAGAAAAGGGTAGAAAAGGGAGGGGGAGGGATAGAGGAGGGCTAGAATGACTGTTGTTATTGTGTTTGATGTAGTGCTTGACAAGAGAGAGTTTAGAAATCCTTGTGTAGTGTGAGGCAGAGGAAGCGAGGATTCATTTAAATGCATGCTCACTCAGGGCCCATACAGAATGGGTGTCTGCTGAGAATTCATCACGGCCTCGCTGATAAAGCCTCAGCCTCTTGGCGAGGGGAAAGGAGCGACAGATCACTCTCTTGAGGTGAGACAGCTTCATGGATGGACAATTGTTATGTAGAAATACACAACACTGATGAATATTATTATGGCACTTTTGGACCAGTTAGTCATCTCTCCATCCATCTATCCTCCTATCTATTCTGTCTTTTCCCCAGGTTGAATATGAAGTGTTCTCTGTGGACCATAAGCTGCATCAGTGATTAAAGCTTCACAACAAAAGATTTCAGAAAAACACATCCACCTGTTCTTTACAAAGCACCCAGCAGCTTCTTAAAGTTACAAAGTTTAAACCTTGGTTGAAAACATAAACTAATTACTTTAGATTATTCATTTTCTACCGTTTAGTCCCTTGCGGGGTCACGGGGGCCGGAGCCAATCGAGCGAAGGCGGGGTACACCCTGGACAGGTTGCCAATCCATCGCAGGGCTAACACATAGACGAACAACCACACACATGCACTCCTATGGGCAATTTAGAGACACCAATCAACCTAAGCTGCATGTCTTTGGGAGGAAGCCAGAGTACCCAGAGAGAACCCACGCAAGCACAGGGAGAACATGCAAACTCCACACAGAAAGGTCCCAGGTGGGACCCGAACCCGGAACCTTCTAGCTGTGAGGCAACTGCGCTAACCACTACACCACCGTGCTGCCTACTTTAGATTAGCAGCTAATAAAAACCTATTTACTACTTGTGACATTTTAACTGAAATACAGTAAATAATTCCCATTTTCCTTTCAAACATAAAAATTCATATGTTAAACCAACATTAATTGAATATTTGGCCATTTGGGGGCAGTACAACAAATTGCAAACAAACTATTCATACATATTAAACTCTTTTGACACTGGCTCAGAGGTGGGCAGAGATGTTAGCTATAGCATTAGCAAGCAGTCACAGAGCAACATTAACCTGAAGTGAGGAGTTTCTAGTCACCAAACAAATGTATTGTCAATATGGTGCATTAAAGGATAGAAAAGCAAGCACGTGACCAGAAGATCACTGATCCAGACCACAAACAGGCAGGATCAAATCTTGATGGGACAAATGAAACAAAGTAGCACTTGCCCCTCATTCACCAGCACCACTGGGCAGCAAGTCGGGTTGTGGTTGTACTGGGCAGCTTCCAGGTCTGAATGTATGTAATTGCATGAATGTGATCAGACTGTTCCTTTAAAAGAGAGGCTGCTCTTTGTGAAACTATTCTGATGAAATAAATAAATAGTTGTTGCTGGCTCTGTACATACTGTAGTGTATAGTGTGCCTTTGGAGCCTCTTTGTTTAAAAAAAAAAAACTTTGTTTGTTTCTGTGCGCGTGTGTGTGTGTTTTGTTTGTTTGTTTGTTGGTCTCCTCTGCAGTGCCGGATCTAGAAATTATTGAATGGGGCGGCCTGGCTGAGTCACAGACTCAAAGTGGGGTGGTACATTTGAAGTAATATGTAAAAAAAAAAGAACCCCAGTTTTATGAAATAATAAACCATGCATTATTAAGACTCTAATTGTTTATTTTGTGTAAACACAACGCACATAGTGCTTTCTTAAGCTAACTTTGGCTGCCTCCTTATTTACTCCAAGGCAGGGAGCCCCCACCCTCAAGGCAAATCATGTCATGTACTCCACAACAACACAAATGGAGAAATGAATGCAAATATCAAGATGCATGAATGATATAAAATAAAAACAATTTGACCAATATCAGTTATAAGCACCAGAAAAATGCTAGCTGCATTTATAGCAACAATCTGTCATTGTTTTTCCATTTTTCACATATTAACACGGCGTGGGGTGGGGGGGGGGGGGGGGTTGGCCCGGGCTACCCCTGCTCCGCCCATGCTCCTCTGGGTACTCAGGCTTCTTCTTCCGGTCTGAAGACATGCAGTTTAGGTTAGTTGGTGACTCTAATTTGCCCATATTAATTGACCCATATTACATTGTCAATAGTAATTTGATCCACTGTTAATAAAATATTTTAAAAAATTTTGAAAGTTTAAAAAAATATAACCGTTAGCATGAATACAAATAAAATGTAATTGATGCAGTGTTTTACATTGTGCAGCAACAGCTTATATGAAAAATCTGTTTGATTACTGCACAAAAGAAGAGTGATTCATGGCACAAAACATTATGTTTATCAGCTCAGTGGGGCTATGCCTATACAGCTTCTGGTAACATCAGATGCAAATGTAGAATGAATAAAAAATTGTCTCAACATAATGTTATTTTGGACATTAATCATATGAAAGCATTACAGTTTATTTGATAATGTCATGGTTTTTTAAAAAGATGCTGCATATACATTCACAAGGCATATCTACAGGGATAGGATTCTGCACAGAATGTTGTACATAACATAAGTACATAAACATACTGTATGTATACAGCCAGGAAGTTATCTGTTCTCACTGATGTAAATTTAAGTCAGGGATCATTCCTGTGATTCAGCAGAATTTAATGACAGCTCATTCAGCTTTGCTGAGCAATTAGCACAGATCTGGAAACACACACAGAAGAACAATGGCCTTAGGTGGTAAATGCTGAGTATGTGTGTGTTTAATATATTTGAACTGCAGTTTTTCATTTGAATGCTTCAAAAGGATTGTACAGTAGGTAAATAAGCACTTGAAGTTCCAGCTTGAATTTGAATTTCCATATCTGAAATTTAAACAAAGGTTTTCTGATAACATCCCTTCAACATTTTAACATATGCACTTTAGCATACTTTGCTATGAAATATAGCAAAGTACTTTATATTAAAATTCAGGTTATTGTATCGGGGATGCTTGATTTATTCACCTGAATTACATTGTTGCTGTTTTTTTTTGCACACCCATTCCTTTGTTTTACTTTGTGCATTGATTTTAGTATTTGTATCAGGTATGGATTAATTCATAGTAATTGTACAGTATGTAATATTTGGCACTAGTACATGTAGTTAAAGTTTTGGAGCAGAATTTTTTGTAAGACTGAACTAAAGTACAAATATATCTGTCACATAATGGTACAGGTAAGGTTGTATTCAAGTTGAATCAGCAAGACTGCTGGTTTGTGCAGTTAGCTTTTGAACCTCCATTATGTCCTTGGATACAACTATCCTACCTACGTGCATCTGCTTGTGTCTGCCCAGCTCCTGCTGCAATTTCACAATCAAAACAGTTCTCTCACTTCCCTCTGTTTCTCTCTCCCTCTTCACACAGACACAAAAAAAAGTTAAAACTAATTCAAACACAATCTTCCATCTGCCTCCACTCCAATCTCCTGAAAAGTTACTTTTTTTCATCTCTAATGTGATAGATGAGAAAACTTTTTTGGAGTACAGGGGGTTTTAGGGGGCTGGCATGGCAGCGGCGATGGTGAAGTAGGCAGCAATTAGCGTGGCGCTAATGAACTCCCTCTCATTATCAGTGAATCAACAGGCCTGTGCTAATTACGGTTAGCAGGACAGACTCCTCTCTCCCACTGCGACGGGCTTCAAGGTCCCTCCGGAGCTGCAACACACCGGATGGTCTGCCAGCAGCCACAGGTGCAAAGCACTCAATGCCAATGTTAAAAACAGAACATAACACATGCACACACACACAAACATGGGGTCCCAACAAACACACATGCAGACACCAGTACTGTCTCTGTCATGTTGTGGTCATCTCATGCAGATGGCATCACCCCACAGCCTTTTTTTAAACATGTTTGTTAGAAATTCAAGTGCTGTTAGTCCTTTATCTTCCTATGGTAGGCAACTGAGAGCAGTATGATGCAAACACATGGTTCTGTCTTTACCTGTACCTGATACATGAACAGATTTTTCAGCATATATTGTACTCTAAATGCTAGCATTTATTATAGCTTATTTTCATATTTTTAGCCATCGTTCAAATGGTATTATGAACCTATTTATTCACCAGACTAATTACTGAGGTCTGGGAGTACAGCAGCACCACTAAGAAGAAGTCAAATGATGAAAGAAGCACAAAAACCCAGAAAATCATAAAGGTTTTAAAGTTCCAATCAGCAGGTTTGTGATATTATCAATGGATTAAATGATAATGTGAAATGTGTCACTCCTAGTGACAAACTCAGAGACTCTGCACTTTCCCTCAGGTCTAGCATTTGAGCATCTTCTAAGTTCCTTTCAGACATGCACTCACTAATCTGAGAGCATCTGAACATGTCCGCTTCATGTCTGCATGAGTGCCCAAGTCTGAACTGCATGCAGTGACATTAATGGATAGGCACGCACAAGATTATGACATACTGACATAGGACGCTGTTACGTATAATGGGCCTAGCACCCACAACAGTCTAGGTGTCTGTGCATGCCTCTTGTGCATCTTTATTTGTTTCTCAGCTCAATGAAAACATGATTGTTTTGGACAAAACTCGCAACAGCAATAGAACAGCCTCATAAATAATATCTCACTTGTTGCACTGTCCAATCTCACATGTATGGCAAATAGCACACACATACCGTGGTAAAAGTGATCTATGTCTGAATAACAGCAAGCCTTTTCTTTAGTCGACTGATGAAGCCAGCCATGTTACATATCCCATCTCTGAAAAGGGCTTTA